TATATATATATATATATATATACATTTATACAACTAAATGCACAGGTGCACGTACACCTGGAGGCGCGAACAAACTAAGACAGAAACAGATACGGCATGAGGGATAAGTGATGAGACAACAAAGATGAATGTATGCAGATAACGGTGAATATACAACTGAACTAAGGAGCAAGCAAGCCCTTTATATATATATTCAAATATATCCAATACACATAAATAAATATAGTGTATATATGTACAGAAAATGCATAGTGTATGCATAGTATATAAAATATAAATATAAATATAAATATAAATATAAATATAAATATAAATATATATATATATATATGAAATGCATCTTTAATGACGCATCTGTTCTACGGAGAAAGTGAAGAGATTTTAAAAACAAAGAAGTTTTGAAACGCCTGAAGTGAGAGAAGACCCTTTAGAGGCCTCTATGCATGCATCTACATTTTCTGTGAGTTTGCCTGTGTCTCTGTCCTTGCAGCACGGTGTGTTGTGCGCTGTTTGTTTGTGCATTTGTTGTTAATAAACTTCGTTTGCTTTGCTATTTGAATATATCACCACATATACACTCCACCGGGCAAACCCTCAGCTGTCCAGACACTTCATTTCTATTGAGCATGCGCTTAGCCTTCTTTCTCTCTTGCGGCTAACCGCAGTCTGCCGACGCCGTTTCCTCGGCCGCCCAACCTGTTGTTGGTACCTCTGCCACATAGCTAGCTAGCTAGCTAGCTAGCTAACTAGCTAGATGGAGAAGAGGGGATATGTGAGTCGGCGGCTTTGCGCACGCACTAAAACTGAAGAGGTGTTATGTGTGTGTGTCTTACACGGTGATACGGAGCGTTAAGAAAGCGTACGAAAGAAATATATACTTTGATAATTTATTGATATATCTATAAGTGTGTATGCCGTGTCTTCCTGCGCGTTCCTTTGTACGCTTTCTCTACTTCTGCTGCTGCCTTCTCTAAGAAATCTGGATCACGTTGTACCTTCCTAGTTAAACGAGCAGCCATAACGGGAACAGAACGTCGCCAAGTGCTCTCCAATGCAATGTCCAGTTCTGCAGTGTCAAGGCACATCAACCACAACAATATAAATACCATTAGAGCAAAGATACGAATATGAATATGAATATAAATATAAATACAAATATAAATATAAATATAAATATAAATATAAATATAAATATAAATATAAATGCGAATATAAATATGAATATGAAAATGAGTAGGAATATGAATATGAATATGAATAACATAAGAGAAATAATATCTTAAGAATATGAACAGTAGAACAAGTCCGAATATCACAACAATATAAATACCATTGAAGTAAAAATATGAATATGAATATGAATATGAATAAGATTATCATAAGAATATGAATACCATAGGAGTATCATAAGAACATTAACAGCATAAGAGTAAGAATATCTTGAGAATATGAATATCATAACAGTGTGAATATCACTAGAATATAAATAACATACAAACCCAATCCCAAACACAGTAGCTGTAGTCGCCACCACAGTAACAGCAGCAGCAGCAGCAGCAGCAGCAACGGCAGCAGCAGCAACAGCAGCAGCAGCAGTGTGGTATATACCGAGTCCTGCAACATATGGTCTTCCTCCCCAGGTTTGAACAAAGGGGCTGCTGCAGAAGCTGCTCCAGCCCGCTTCAGGAAGTAAGCCAGCAAGAAGAGTGATACTGCACGGGAGTGCATGCACATGTGCCCATACAAGCGTCATACTTTGTTTGAACTTGAAATATTTATTTAAACCCGTAAGACGAGAAGCAAAACCCATAACACGACGAAAACGACTACCCGCTCGCACAGATTCATCTAACCAACATAAACCAGAGTATAATACATCGCCGCTCTTCTTATCAAATACGTTTGCTCGCGCAAGTGAGTGCAAAGGAATCTGCAACAATAGTAACACACACACACACACACAACAGCACACCTCCATACATACATTCACGCATGCATGCATGCATGCCAGGGGATGTAGATGCTTGCATGCATGCATGCACGCGTAGGATGTGCGTGCATACATGCATGCACTTATGCATGGGATGTGCATGCATGCATGCATGCATGCAGGGACATAAAGGAAAGAAAGATAAGAGAAACTGACGAGAAGATCAACCAAATGAAAACCACAGAACGCACAACAGACAGCACAGGCGAATGCGTAGACAGGCGGCCCAGCAGATCTGGCGAAGAAAGACAAGACTAGATTAAAAAAATATAATACAATATAATGCAAATAACAATAACAACCAGAACAACAGCAACAACAGCAACAGCAACACGCACCACTACTGTATGCTCTTTGTCTCTCTCCATATACCCCTTCCCCTTCGATTGTCTTAAGTCAGGAACGGGGTCAACGTCCAGCACGATGTGATGATACACCGCGCCATAGCGATGCAGCTCATCAATTGCTGCTTTATCTCCAATCTGCAAACCAGCAGCACAAGCAACAGCAGCAGCAGCACAACAATAGTAATTGCAGTAGGAGCAGCAGCAGCACAGCAGCAGCAGCACAACAATAGTAGTAGTAGTGGTAGCAGCAGCACCACAGCAGCAGCACAACAACAGTAGTAGTAGTAGCAGCTGAGTACCAGGCGCTTCGTTCTACGTATGAAGCATAAGGCATCAAACACTAGGCATTATCAGTAGCTTAAATATAAATATATAAGTGCATATATAAACAAAATATAATATATATATATATATATTATGGGGCGTTGCAGATAGGGCGATCTAAGTGGAGAGCGCATCATATTGCAATAGAAGAAAACCTTTTAATTTATTAATATTCTTTTTAATTTATAAATTATATTCTTCTTATCCGCAAAAAGGCATGCACTTACCATAGGAGCGGCAAAGGTAATGCAATACACTGCAACGAGGCCCTGCTTAACCAAATCATCCAAATGCTTTGAAACAAACCAAGCAGCGTAGCTAGCGGATGCCCCTCCTTGTGAATGCCCCGTAAAGACCACCACAAACGGTTTCTTGCTGCTGCTGCTGCTGCTGCGCCTGCGCACCAGCAGCCTAACTTCTTCAATAAAACGTGTGAGTGGTCTTCTTATCACCTGATGAAAAAGAAAGTTTAACCCCGAGTGCACCCAGGCAAATGGCGAGAAAAACGGATCTCGGATAGCCCCAATCATCGTATTAAACGTCCATTGCTGCATGCATGCGCACACCCATACATACATACACATACATTATCGCGTATGCATGCATGCATGCATGCCATGCATGCATGCATCTCAGCATACCCTATAAACACAACTCTTTGCCTGCTTGAGTGTGCGTATTTGCATGCATGCATGCATGCATGCATGCATGCAAGATACACCTCGAAGACGTCCGCTACTAGCCACGCAAAGACATCCCACGGATAACTGATATATGAGGGGAGGCAGCTATATATATATATATATACATATACATATACATACACATATACATATACATATACATATACATATACATATACATATACATATACATATACATATACATATACATGTACATGTACATGTATATACATATATATAGAATCAATGATCTATCTAATGTATCTATTAATATAGCTGTACAAAAAAATACACATACATACATGCATATATATATATATATACATAATGTATGTACATAGATACATATGCATGTGTTTGATTGCGCTGCTGTCCGGTGTATGGATGCAGACCTTGGGTTGCCCCGTGCCTTTGAACGCCCAAACAACATCTGCGCGGTGTACAGGGATTTCGTCTGTTTGGCCTGGCTGTGGGGGTTTTGAATCTCTGTCTTTAGCTCCTATACCCACATCACTGTCTACATTAAGCACTAGTGAAGGCCAGACCTCTCCCCATCCCCCTCCTGCTGCTGCTGCTGCTCCTGCTGCTGCTTCTGCTGCTGCTTCTGCTGCTCCTCCTGCTGCTGCTGCTGCGGGTGCTGGTGTTTCTGTTGCTGCAGCGGTGGGCGGTGCAGCAGAACCAGCAGCAGCATCTGCAGCAGCAGAAGAAGATTCTAAGTTAAGGTCCCATCTAAATATGAGTGGTGCAGGGATCACCATATGGTGAGTAGCATCTCGATCACATACATCCGGATTAATAGAAGGAAGCTGCTTATCTTGTACTATTTGGTATGGGTGCTTATTAGGTTTGCTGTTGAGAAGATGAAGAGCGCCTGGTGATGCCTCGAGGTCTACGAGCTCTCTTGTCTTTTCATCCAAGACAAACGGCACACTGCGACCTACGGGGCCCTCATCAGGGGCCCCCGAGGGCTTTACAACACGAGGCGGAAACCCAATTGTACGCACCAACTTCAGGTCTGAGTTCGATAGCGCTCGAGCTCCATCAGCAGTTAGACGGCCGCCTACTGAATGCATCAGAGCTGTATAGACACCCCAGCACACCATATAGAGCATAAATACACACAAATATACCTAAAATACTCTGCTTTGGTGCTCACTCCGAACTTATACATGCTCTGCCTCCATCGATTTGTCTATATGAACAGGTGCATCTTTTGTCTATATGAACAGGTGCATCTTTCTCTCTCTCTCTCTCTGCCTCTGTCTCTCTATCTCTCTGTCTCTCTCTCTCTCTGCCTCTGTCTGTCTCTCTCTGCGTCTGCCTCTGTGTATATCGTGTCAAGTTGTGGTGTCTGCATGGTAGTTGCGTACATGCATAATTTTAATGTTTGTCTGTGAGTGTGCTGCATACCGTTCTCAGTGAAGAGGGCTGTGCCGACATAAGAAGGAATGAAGTGCTTAAAAAGTACTTCATCAAGAGGTATATTTGTATAATCATCCATAAGATCGGAAATGCGGTAAGCATAGTAAGCAAACTGCCATAGGACTAATGCAGACCGGAAGTATAATCTGTGCACGCGTTCGAGTCTCGGTGACCCCTTAAATTGCCTTCCATCCACATATATCTCTCCCCCTACATCACGCATCTCTAAAGGAATATCAACTGTTCCTTGCATCTTTCCAAATAACTCTAATAAAGGAGAAGGAGGAGCAGCAAAAGGAGGCACCGTACGACGCCCTATAGAGGGCAGCAAACGGTAAGGCAGATGTGCGCGGCAATTAAAAACTGAAAAGAATAAACAACAAACAAAACAAAAGCAAAGACAAAACAAAAAAAAAGAATTAAAAAGAGAATAAATATAAACTGAGATTAAAACATAAAACATAAGACATAAAACAACACACATAACACACATCCGGCTTCTATAAGCCAATTCGTAACAATAAAAAAAGGCAAATCAATACAAATAAAAGCATATATGCATGCATGCACACAATAATGCATCCATGTATGCATACATGCATGCATGCATAGGATAATGCATGCATGCATTCATACATGCACCAAATAATGCATGCATGCATGCATGCAATAATGCATGGACTGTGGGGAGTTCTCACTTGAGGAAACCAAAGAAAATAATATGGGCTCGGGGCCCCCTTGGCGCTGCAGCGCATGCAGAGCGGCGATTGGGAAGAACAAATCTTCTACGGCTTTGACCTCTGGCCACACTCTTCCTTGTATCTCTATAAACAAACAAAACACACAAATGCACAACGCGATCTACTGCTGCGCATATCCTGCATAGCACGCTGCTGCTGTTGCAGCAGCAGCAGCAGCAGCAGCAGCAGCAGTGGCAGCAGAATCAGCAGCATGCATGCATACATACAGCAGCAGTAACATGCATGCATCCATGCAGAAGCAGCAGCAACAACCTGCACGCATGCATGCATGCATGGATGCAGCAGCAAGTGCATGCAAGACTGACGGAAGAGAGCACTTGCAACATTGGGTCTATCAGACAAAGGCCCGAAAGGTGAAGTAACGATGCCATGCCACCACCTCCTACTAGGATCGTAGCCCCCTAAAGCTTTTCTTAATTCTTCGGGGCTAGCCCCATTGCTGCTTCCAAATTCATCAAAATCATCTGCTTCGTCTGCTTCATCTGCTGCCTCTGCTGCTCCTTCTTCTTCTGTTCCTGCTGCTGCTGATTCTGCTGATTCTGCTGATGATGCTGCTTCTGCTGCTACGGCTGCTGCTGCACTTGCAGCAGCGTACGAAAATGTACTCGAATCGGTCTCGTCTGTCACTGCTGAGTCTCCCTCTGCTGCAGCAGCAGCAGCAGCTGCTGCTGCTGCTGCGGCAGGGGAAGCTGCTGCTAGTGCTGCGGGTGCTGCTGCTGGTGCTGCTGCTGCTGCTGCTGTTGCTGTTGTTGCTGCTGCTGCAGGAGGCTTTGAAGGTGCTGCATGCAGGCGCACGAGCTGCCCCATCTTCTCTGCAAATGCAGAAAGATGTTTAAATGAACAAGCAGCAGCAAGAGGACCTAGAGGTTTATCCATTAGGTAGACAGGCGAATATAAACCTCCGCACTGTAGCTGATCTCCATAGGCTTCCGGATGGTAGAAAGCAGATAAGCCAAACTCTCTTAAGTCAAATACTTCAACTACTTCACCTAAAGACAAAGAAGAAGGAGGCTGAGGCCCCAGTGATGCACGAGAAGGCGACATTAAATAGGGGGGCCCCTCAGACTCCCCTGAGCTGCTGCTTGAAGGCCGGGCGGGGGCCCCTAGAAGGCTATGCCTCCACCAGCTGCGAGCTTGACGCTGAGCTAAGGGCACCCAATACACCCCGCTGCTGCTGTCTTCTACTTGCAGCCCTAGCGGCCTATCATCTCCTGCTACCTCCCAGTGTGCATACTGCTGCTGCTGCTGCTGCTGCTGGTGATGGTGATGGTGGTGGTGATGGTGGTGGTGGTGCGGGGGCCTGCCGCCGCTGCTGCTGCTGCTGCTACTGCCGAACTCAGGTATTTGAGTAGGAGAGGGGCTTGTGCGCAGCCTCTCATTTTCTTCTTCTACTTCGTGCAGCTCCGGCGTAAGCCCTTTAATCAAAGGCCTATGACCCAACTCCAAAAGTACAGGAGCTTCTGCAGCAAAGCAGCTTTCAAAGAGATGCCGAGCCTCTGCGGTATTCGTCAGCGGCTCCCACAGCAGCTGAGGCAGATTTAGAGGGGCCCCACCGCCCCTGCTGTTGCTGCTGCTGCTTGCGCTGCCTTCTTTCGGAGTCGCATCTGAAGCACTTGCTGCACCTGCAGCAGCTGCTGCTGCAGCAGCGTCCGGTGAAGCATTAGAAGCAGCAGCTCCGCTACTCCACTCAGCCCCATCACTGTGTGCCCCTCCAGGGGCTGTCCTATTAAAAGGCTTTGCTGGAACCTTATCTCTTGATTCAGAGGGCTCAACGCAGCTCACGTGCAGAAGCAGCAGCAGCAGCAGCAGCAGCAGCATGCTGCTGCAGCGGAGGGCCCAGAAGGTTGAGCAAAGCACCTGCACAGCTCGGGGCTCCATAATGTCAAAGAAGTATGAAGCAGCACAGAAGAGAACAGCGAAGAAGAGGAAAAGCCGTTACAGCTGCCTCTGCTGCAGCGCTTGCTGCTGCAGATGTAGCTGCTATTACCGCTGCTGCTGGCGTTGTTGCTGCGGCGGCTATTGCTGCAGCTGCAACGGCAGCTGCTGCTGTTTCTATTGCTCGTGCAGATGCAACTGTCCAAGGTGCTTGTGTCGTTCCTGCTGTTGTTGCTGCTGCTCTTAAAGCTGTTGTTGCTGTTGCTGCTGCTGCTTCTGCTGCAGGTGCTTGCGCTGCTGGGTGTGCAGGCGCTGAGGTTTGGGGTTAGAGCAGTAGCTTGCAGCAGCAGGACGCGGATATAGAGAGGGATGTTCTGCTGCTGTCGTCATGGGGCCCCAGGTATAGCTGCAGCTCGACTGCTATTAGAGTGAAGGAACATAACGCAGGAGCAGCAGCAGCAGCAACAGCAGCACTATTGGTCGAGCAGCTAATTGCATGCGCCCTTATGCATGCATACTTCCTAAGGATATGGAGAAAAAAGAAGAAAACAGAAGATATCGCTGCTATTCGTGCAGTATAAACACTCTGTTATTTTGCTGCAGCAAAGACGTCTCCTTGGCTTTGTAGAGAGCAAGACGTCTTTAAAGAGGCCTTCGGGTGTACGCACAGCTTATAAACATGAAATAAAAAACTTAAAAAAACACAAAAAACTACATTGACTGACCTTTATCCTGTTTTCTCCCCTAAAGGGGCCGCTCCTCGCTCCAGCTGCGCCTGCTGTTGCTGCTGCTGCTGCTGCTGCTGCTGCTGCTGCTGCCGCCGTCGATGGTCTTTAGGGTTATTGCTAGGCGTTGTTGAGAGGCCTTCTTGATAGGTAAAAACAAGGCAAAATGAATAATATGAGCAGAGTTTCTTCCTCTTTTGCTATTATTTACCAGCACAGCTCCTTAGACCCCTCCCTTATAATCGGCTGGATCGCTCGAGAGGGCCACCCGCTCGCAGCCTTCCTCTAATATACACTGTGAGTTTGCTGCTGTAATAAAAGGAATAAAAGAATAAGCACTCAGAGAGAAGTTCATATGGCTGTCTGCTGCTCTGGGGGCGCAGCAGTTAGGAGACGGAAGAGGCTTAGTACAGCAGCAGGGTGTGTAAATATCGGAGTTTCTACTTGGGGCTGCTGATGGGGAGTGTATAGAAAGGTGCTTCAGTCTGAAGAGACTATATGGAGTGTAAATGGGCGCAGCAAGACTGACGTTCCTGCACTTGCACGACTCTTGTGTGCAGCAGCAGTTGCAGCGAGTGCAGTATGAGACAAAGACAAACAGTTTCGCTCCTCTACGAACCACCTCCAGGCCCGAGAGAATCTGTAGTTACGTTGACTAGGTACGTTAGGGGAGGTAGTACACTCTTAAGTGCCTCTTGTTTTAATTCTTTGACTCCATCTCTCCCCCACGACTGTCTAAAGCTTAGTTAAATCCAGGGCCCTCACCATGCATAAAGGTGCTACATGCTTCCTAGCATCAGGTGCTAACAGCGGAGCCCAAACCCACAGCAGAGCGGCCCCGTTCATGGTAATGATTAGTAGCGAATGCAGCTGTATAAAGGGTTGAGTTGTTGCCTTCTCTGTGTGTGCTGCAGCCCTTCTCGTGCCTCACACACAGCGAGACTTCGCGAGGATCTGCTCTCCGGTTGAGAGGCAATCAACAGTTGAACTCCTCTTCCTATCCGGCTAGAAATGCTCTTGCAGCAAAAAGCATTTGGTGAGGAATTCCTCCGTCTCTGCGCGGTGCGGGGGAAGTAGAAGACCTCGTTGCTTCCCTTGCGTCTGATTGCGTCTATAAAAAGCATTATAAGAGCTGCATTGGCTACTACAGTCTTGTTTATTTCAAAGGGAGGCACTACAATGGTGGCTGTCTCCTGGCAAATGCAGCACTTCTTTAACTCCCGTCCGAGAGGCAATGCAGTGTAGGCTTATTCTTCGGTCAGCAAAAGAGCAGCGTATTGCAGAATTAGGAAAGCGTGAGTGTGCAAAGCTATAGATAGAGTGCTGTATTGAGAACAGAAAAGAACTATATATATATATATATATCTGCTGAACAGAGCTATATAGCAGTGGACCCGGAGCTTCTTTGTCAATGGTTCATAGAGGGGCTGCTCGGCGGAGAGAGAGAGAGGCGGCCGGTGGCCGACTGAGCGGTGAAGAAGGAACAAAGCGAAGAAAGGATGAAAATTGAAGGGATGATAGAGAGCCTATTCACTGCGCATGCAAAAAAGGAAAGTGGGTAGGGAAATGAGCAAGACTTCGCCCCCAGATAAACTAGGGCTGTGAATGCCGACCCAGAGCAGAAGCAGTCAATAACCCGGAACAGACAAATGGCAGCAAATCCACAGCACAGCGAGCCAGGGTGATAGAGTGAGGGATGCATACGCTTGCTTCGCAACGAACAGGGCCAAATAATTCCGGGATGCACAAAGAACGAAAGAGCTAAGGGACTCAGGAAACCGTAAGACTTTGAGTTGACACCGGTCGCCCGCTGGACGTCCAATGCAGTGCATCGAGCTCGTTCCCTGCGCAGCCCCGAACTTTGTTCTGACGTACAAGCCACCTCAGTGACTTTAAGAAAAGAAGCTAAGGGGAGAGCACAAGAAATACGAGGAAAAGACTAAACTCGCCTGTCAAATAGAGTGCTTGGAAGAAGCTGGTGCTGGAGAAATCACAATGAAGCAAAGCTTTATGATGCCCGTATCATCGAACTAATTAACCGCATGTGGGGTTCATCAACCTGTTTACTATTTGAACTGATGATGCTTTTTTGTGCAGATTCTACTATAGCCCGACGATCGGCACACAACTGCGTTCCACGCACTCCTCAGGAAACTAACGAATGCGTATGCGCAATTTGGCCTTGTGAATGCATCTAAGGGGCTACAGAGGCAGGCAAGTCACCTCTTCTTCTGCAGGTGCAATGAGGGTTGGATGGTTATATGCATGGATCGAGTACTTGGATTCAGCACGAATGTGCAGGAGCACTTCGAGCACATGTGCCTTGCTGCTGTTGGCGGCGCTGCAGCAGCACTTGTTGCCTAACCCCGGCGCCTTCCTACAAGTTGGTGCATTTCAAAGGCATTATCTGTTGTTCTAATAGTGCGTTTATATGCTATAAATTTGCACAAAGTTATAGCATTTAAAAAAAAAACGAGGACGCATGTTGTTGTGGGCGTTGCTGGCCATGCATGCCCCAGAGCTGTGAGAAACGAAAATTTCATGGGGGTCCGTGGCTTTGCGTTGACAACTTAGACGCGTGGAGAACGCGGCAAGAAAGTGTATCGGGGCGTTGCTTGGGCTTTCAGCAGCTCGTGCAGCAGCAGAGAGGGACGAAGACGAGTTTTGCACTTATCATCAGTGAACGAGGACGGGGAAAGGGATGGCCACAGAGAAGGCAAGAAAATCCACCACACAAGTCTGGAAGACGCCTAAAGCGGCATACAGTAGAGTTCGTAGTGGTGGCTAAAATGCTCAGGAAGCCCTCTACCCGTAGCGACAGCAAGGCAAACACGTAGAGCGCAGAGGCAGGTGGAGTGACCAGCAAACAACCGAATACAGCAGCAAATAAAAAGCCGTTGTAATAAATGGTAGACAGGAGAAGCTTATGGTTACGTACACGGACGCAAATGCAGCAACACGAAGGCATCCTCCTCAGCATAAAGAGCTTCTCGGCTGGATGGGGTACAGAAGCTTTCCTCTCTTTATTGCGGCGTAACGCTCAATCGTTGGGCGCCTCCACACCCCGGGGCAGCTTCTAATGAATATTAAGTGCTCTAGAGAGGAAACAGGTTGCATTTTGAACAAAGGTATGGGAGAATGCCCTATAAGAGTTGTGTCTCAGTTATTTTCCTCGCAGACAGCATTCGCTATTCGTATGTTCTATGCGCCACGCATAACAGCTCTGGAGTTTAACTTTACTCGCCTCTCCCACCACCAGTGAAACCTGCAGCGTTGCCAACTATTACGAAGACTCCTCAATCTTAACAGAGGTGGAGCTTGAGCTGCATTAGAGTAAAAACACCTATCATATATATACGCATCTAATTAACATATATATATGTATACTTATATACAGTTAACAGAAAAGCAGCTGAGTTCCTTAAAACTTTAGGTTTTTCGTACAGAGCGGTGTTTGGGCACGGCCTGCGCTCAAATCGAAATATTTGCTGCAAGTGCAGAGAGGCAATATATGCCACTGGTAGGGAGAGAAGAGTATTAATACTATTATTATTAATATTATTATTGTTTATCTGCTTTGAGGGGTTTCTTTTTTATGTATTTTAACGGTATTAAAGCTGAAGATATGCCCGAGGTAAGAATGAATGCTTTTATTATAAAGGCCGTAGCAAGACGCATACTAAAAAAAAACCCTCAAACCTGACAACCACCGGCGTTTTTCTACGGGTGTAGTTTGTATATGCTTAATTTAAAAATTTATTAAATAGATAAAATATAGCAAAATGAATAAAATATGCACGTATGTATATATATTATCAGTATAAAGCAGCTGGCTCTTCGTAGGGCTGAGCGGGGGCTGCAGCCGCCTCTCATAATAATCCTCGCTGGTATTTCTTTGTTTTTTTCTCGAATCTTAAGTACTTCTTTTCCCCACATATATTCTTATACTTTTGACATTTCAATTTGTTTGACTTACACCATTCAGGTGTATATTTAGCTGCAGCAGAGCCCCTCTTTCTTATGTTTCAGGGGCTGTATGGGTGGTAGACGAAGCCTTCTAATGGCTCTAAGGGCGAGAACCGGCAGCAGCAGAATACCTCTTCTTTAATTTTATCTATTTTCTTTCATTTTGCTTCTTTTGTTGTTGACGAGGCACCGGAGAGGCATATACCACTCCTCACACCTGTTGCTTCCTCGCCTACGCATGCAGCGGTTGCTATTACTCCTACTAGCACTGTTGCTGCTTCTGGCTAGACAAAGCATTAGTTGCTGCTGCTGCTGCTGCAGCGGCTTTCCATTGCTCCTGCGGTGCAGCTTTTGAAGCTCTGCCGTCTGCAGCGGCAGCAGCAGCAAACGATGTGCCTGTTGCTGCAGCCTCCGTCGCTGTCTGTATGCCGAGGGGCTGATGACGCTTCGCAGTCAGCCTTCTGTACATGCATTAGCATTCAACCCTAAACCCTAAACCCTACACCCTTACCATCTGCTTCCCTGGCGCTGCTGTGTATCTAAAGATGCTGCCTAAGCGAAGCTGGGGCAGTTTTGCTGCTGCGACGAGGTTTATCTGCTGCTTAGAAGCAGATATTCCTCGTAGCTCAGCAGCTGTGGAGCCTTACGGTGTAATACACGGGAGGGAGAAGAGAGGGGTATGGGCGTCTGTTATCTCTGCAAGCAGCAGAGAGGAATATAGCTGCGGCATTCCGACTGCACCACCAGCAGCAGCAGCAACTGCAGCAGCAGCAACTGCAGCAGCAGATGTAAAGGAGTCAAAGTGGGCCTTTCAGCAGCACTTAGGCCGCTCCGTTCAAGTGCGTAGAAGCTTGCAGGGGCCTTCTAGCTTGCAGTGCTGCTGTCTGTCAAGCACTGTTATACTACGGCCTCCTTGTGCAGCTGCTGCAGCTTCTCTTTCTTCTTTTAATAGCTGCGCAGCTTCAAAGCGGAATAAGAATCTGTATTGGGGCCAGGGAGGTGTGGGGATCGGAGGCAGACAAGAGAGACTCCTCCAAGGGATCGCTGCTGTTGCAGATACACCGCACATTCACGCCAAGGCTATGCCACCTAGAAGCAGCAGCAGCAGCAGCAGCCGCAGCGGCAGCAGCAGCAGCAGCAGAGGCAACGCAGCGTTTGAGTTTGGTGAGGTGTATGGACCTCGTGCTCGAGAGGCAGCCGCTGCTGCGGTTGCTAAGGGCTCTAGTGGAGGGGGAGTGTCTGCTGCTGCTGCTGCTGCTCCTGCTGCTCCTACAGGAGCTGCTGCTGAGGGGCGGCCGTCTCTGCTGTCTGCGACGCCGGCAGCAGTGCAGCAAATAAAAAGGTTGATTAAGAATTACAACAAAGCCTTGCAGCAGCAGCAGCAGCAGCCAGGCGCAGAGCCTCCTCCAAAAGCCACAGGCATTCGCATCAGCCTGCAGCGGCAGGGCTGCAGCGGCATGGCTTACGATGTATCCCTCTGCACGGAGCAGCGCGCTGACCCTACTGCAGCAGCAGCAGCAAATGCAGGAGGCTCTGCTGCAGCAGCTCCTTTGCATGCGCCTGGGGCTCCTGGGGTGGCTAGCCGCAGGCGTAAGGATTGGGGAAGAGATGAAGTGGTTTTAATTGACGGGGTGGAGATAAGAGTTGCTGCAGACGCAGTGATGCTGCTGATAGGCACTCAAGTAGACTTTGTAGATGAAGATGTTCAGACAGGCTTTATTTTTAACAACCCTAACCAGAAGCAATCTTGCGGCTGCGGCAAGAGCTTCATGGTGTAGCTACGGGTTATTCTTTCTCTTGCAGCGCCGCAGCAAATAGAGAAGGAGGCCCCATAGGGGCCCCTGCGAGGCCGAGCAAACACTAAGGGGGGCCCCATATAGGGGGGCCCCCGCAGTCAAGGACCCCTTGTGGCGGCTTATTGGGTCAAGGGGCACCCGCAGTGGGCTGCGACATGCATGCAGGGGGTTTGTTTGTTTGTATGAATCTTCATCTCTGCATGCATGCATTTGGTACCTTGGATGTATGCGCAGCGCTCTCAGCGCGAGCGTCTTTTAGGGTTTTGTTTCAGACAAGAGTGGCGTTGTTGGGGGCAAAAGGGGCTTTATGAGGGGCGCTGCGGTTGTGCGTAGCCATTAGCTGAAAGAAGTAAGAACATTCTAAAGCCGCGTCTTCAGCGAGATCAGTGCAGTGCAGCGCGTTTCGGGGAACGTCGTTCCCCAGCTTTGCTCGCAGTGTTGAGGGGTATAAATAGCGGCAGAGCTCGGGGTCGTACGGCCCTGTACGCAGCAAGAGACGCACATACACACATACACACCCTCAGCTGTATGTACACCCCACAACTTCGCTGCTTCCCTTGCCGCGCAAACGCTGCAGTACTTTTTGAGAACTCCGGCTGCAGTAGACCGACCAACTACGAGACTAACGCTAACTCCGATTTAATGGATGTGCGCTATTTGCTGCTGTTGCTGCTGCAGATGCTGCTGCTGTTGCTGCTGCTGTTATTAGTGTTGCTGCTCGGACAGTTTTTCGTCCTGCTCCAAATGCCCCTCATAATGGCACTGCGGATGCTGATGCTGCCGTTGCTCCTGCCTCTAACGGGGGACGCAGAAAGCCTACTGCTGCGGCTGCTGCTGCTGCGGCTGCAGCTGAGCCTGTGTACATCTTAGCAGGAGAGACAGCTAAACATGCATGCGTACGCACCTGCGAGGCGCCTAAGGCGAGCGACTGCGTCGGGCCCCTCCAGCTGTATAGCCAGAACAGTTCCGTTTGTCATCTCTTCCACCATCTGCAGCGAGGTGCGCCACCCGTAGCAGCAACAGCAGCAGCAACAGCAGCAGCAGCAGCAGTAGCAGCGGGCAGAAAAGCAGAAGCAGCAAGTTTGATTTTGCTGGGCCGTTGGTCCCTTGATTGTAGTGAAAGATACAAGATGTTTTCAGCTTCCTTCTTACCTTAGGGAACTCCTTTAAGACAGTGTCATATATCTCTAGAAACTCTCGAGCTGCGACGCTGGTAAGGCGAAAGCACTGCATATTGCGGATGGAGAGGCCGCTGCTGCTGAGCTCACGAAGGACAGTGCCTGTCTGCTGCAGTGCGTGGGGCTTTATGACGCAGCAGGTGAGCTCCGCCCCCTCACCAGCAGCAGCAACAGGAGTAGTTGCAGCAGCAGCAGTAGTTGCAGCAACAGCAGTAGCTGCAACACCAGCAGCGGCATCAGGCTTTGGTGCTGCCTTCTCGCACAGCTCCATACCCAGCTCCTCCACAGCTGCAGATGGGGTGTCTGCTGAGGTTGTTAGCAACTCGTGCCCTGCGGCTGTCAGTGAGCGGACCCTTAAGAAGGAGTTACAAGCAGTCAGCAGCAACAGGAGAAGCCACAACACCCAGCACTTACTAAGCCCTCAAGTCTCCTAGTATGATGTCTAAAAGCCTACTCTATACCCACTGCCACAGAAATGCCTTGGGGAAGACCTGCCTTATAGAAAAGGGTTGCTGGAAATGGTATAACTAAACTGCAACAAATAACCATGAAGCGGAAATCAGCACAAGTCGGGGTCAGGCGTACTTATGGGCTGCGTTATCTCCCCGTAGAAGAAAGACAGCAACGGTGGATGAAGAGGATACAGAAGCGTCGCCTTGCATGACTACTTCGGGAGTTTGAGCCTTAAGGAATTCCCCCAGCGGCTCATCGAGCGCCAGTAGTCTGCAGTTCGTCAGGATAAGACCCGAGTTTAGGAGGCTTTGCAAAGTGTCTGCGTACTTGTGTGTGTCTTCTACTCGCCATATGCACAAGGCCGGCTCCATGGAACGTGAGAGGTAAGCAGCCGTTTGTTCATTGGCAGCGTCCTCGATGCGCAGATGCCGAGAAAATAAAACAAGTTGAGCCCCAGGGTAAAGCGACTGAGCCACATGCTTAGGAACGGCCACACGTTTCAGGTTACCGCTGTTGCTTTGGAGGTTTCGCAACTCCACGGTGCTATCATTCGCATAATACACCAATATTAGTTCCTTTATGCCGCCTGTGCCCGATGCGTCCCAGGACACGTAAAAGGCCAGCCTAGGAGGAACTTCCATCTTGAAACACTGCGAAATATGTTAGATTTCAGCTTATTTCCTTATTAATATGCGCCCAAATGCCTGTCTTAGAACAATGGCCGCCTCAAACAGAGCGGGTCTGAACGGGCGGCTGACGGCCACTATGGCAACGGCAAGAACTCGAAAGAGGAAGCCATCCTTCGATTAGCCTTAAAGATCAAAGGAATGAATTATAATTAATTGGAGTTAAGAAGTTTGTTCATTTGGATTTGAACATTGAAGGAACTATCCGAGCAGGGCGCTTCTGCTTCCCGTTCAGCCCTGCGGCTCACGAGACTCATACACGCATCTGCTCGCCACCTCGCTCTCCACCAGACGAAAAAGTCAGTATATCCTAAATTCAAAGTAATAATTTAAATTGCAGGTTATGTAGAGTTTATTATCTGAAGAGAAATGGAAGGTTGTTCTTCCTAGAGTGGCACATCGCCGACACTCGGGCAGTTGCGTTGGGTCGATGCAAGAAAAGGAGCTCGAGAGAATGACCACTAACACACGGAGAGGAAATGAAAGGAAAAACTGCCATTAAACTCTTTTTAATTATTGCAATTAATAATCAGCAATAAAAACTCGATTTCCATGGTTCCTTGTTTCGGTCAGTCGAGGATAGCCAGTTTCTGAACGAACCCATAGTGAGGGAAAGCAGGAAATGCAGAAAACTTCACGAGTAGAAATACCTGGTTGACTTCTCTCAATCTGTATGCCACCTGATGTAAACAAATATTAATATTTTAATGTTTCCGGGTACTTAAGGATCGATGCTTTGCACACATTAATCAGTTCCTGCATCATCGCTTCCAGCTTCCTGTCTGGGCTTTCCGCACGATCCTGAGAAATAAAATAAAAATCCTTTCAATTCCTCTCTCTGGGTATTGCAGTTATGGCATTCGTACTTTTTGTTCCTTTTCAAGGGCCGCCTTAGCCACTGCGTCCTCTGCATTTTCCTGTTGAGATGGTCGTCGCTGCATCAGGGAAGATGGATTGCAGCTTTTTCCTCTCCTCACCTCTGCTATTTCGGCTTCTTCAGCCAACTCCCTGGCGTGTTCCAATTTTAGCTCCAGAGCAGTATCTCTGAGTCCAGCGGTAAAACTGGCGCATGAAAGCTTTGGAGTGCGTGCGAATCAGAAAGCACCTTTGCGTTTGCGCTTCAAGCTCATCAGCCACTTTGTCTACATCATCCTCTCTTTCCTCCTCCTGTGTGAACATTTATATTGGTGTGATCAAATGCAGTATCTAGTTAATAAGGTAGCCTACGCTCAGCTCATCATCGTCCTCTTTGGCGGTTTGATTGAGCCGCAGGGAAGTGCAAGGAATGTTGCAGCACATAAAGACGGAAAAGAGTGAAGCCACACAAAACGATGATAAAGCCAAAACCCTCATGGCTCCTGCAGAATAAAAATGCTGTCTTCCGTGATGACCGTCACATTCGCGTAGTTTAAAGAATTTTCAAGCAGAGTTGCAACGGCTAAACGGAGGCCGCGCGTACACCCGGAAAGCGGAAGACAGGAATACTTTGCCTACTGAGGCTAAACACGAACAGTAATCATGGAGAATAGCATCTGATTACTATTAAATACTGCTTTAGCTCAATTAGCAGCTCCGTGTTTTACTCAATGCTTCTACAAAAGTCCGATTCGATTTCATAAGTACAACCGCCGTCCGTCACCACAACCACATTGGCAATATCGACATAAATGATCACTATAACGACCCAAATACATTCAAAAATTAAACTAATTAGTTGATTATATAATGTTTTATCCTTCCGGTTATTCCTTCGGAGTGGTTACCGGCCGCTGCCGAAATCTTTTCCTTCGAAACCGCCTTTCTGAATCGGCGTTGCGCGGGAGGCCCTCAAGTTTGACCCTCGTATTTGTTTCTTGACATTACAAGTGTAAAAAAGTGATGAAATTCAATCAAAAAGTGACATTTGAGGGGAATATTTTATCTTAAGATGACAAAGTTGCAAAATTGGGCCCCAAGCCGCCCCACAGCCCCGATGAGTATACCCGATGAGGCAATGGTAGTAAAAACTTCCAACATTTTCCATCTTTTCAGGGAAATTCACTCGAAATAACTCTTTTTTATCTTGTGAAGCCTCACAAGCATTGGATAAGGTGGGAGTTAAGCCTTGCCCGGCGTTGTTGGCGTTGCTACTTCGCGTAGATCTGCAGCTGTTTCAGCTCACTAGAAACTTCTTCATTTTTTGGGGCCTCTCAAAGATAGAGAATAGTTTTAAAAGCTATTTAACGCCATATCAAGTTCTGTTCTCTGTTCTCACTCACTTTCGATAGGCGACGGGGGCCTCAGCTGCGTTTAAATACCTGTAAAACTGCCGCATAGAGCAAGGCAACGGCAGCAGCAGCAGCACCCAAAGCAGTAGCTGGAGGAGCATCGCTAGCAGGCTGTGGCTTGTCGCCATCTCCTTGCTGCGGGAGCAGTCGCATGCAGAGGAGCGGCGAGTAATGGTATTTGAAGCAATGCCGCCTTCACTTGATTTGTAGAGCGCATATACTGACTCTGGGGCTCCTCAAAATGGGGCCCCAACCTGTTGCCAGTAAGAAGCCCTCCAGTCGTGCACGGCGGAGGGCAAAGTCATCCGTTAATGCTGCAGCAGCAGCACCTGCAGCAGCAGGACCGTCATCAGCTGCAGCAGCACCGTCAGCAGCTGCAGCAGCACCGTCAGCAGCAGCAGCAGCAGCAAGTGTAGTACCAGCTGTGGCACCAGCTGCAGCTGCAAATGGAGCGCCATATGCCGCTTCATCTACAGCTGCCGCTGCCGCTTCAGCTGCAGCACAACCTGCAGCAGCAGTATCAAGTCAAGCAGTTGCAGCAAATGAAGCAGCTGCACCAAGTGAAGCAACTGCTTCATCTGTGCAACGCAGAGGAGCCTTCACGTCTGGGCCTGGGGAGTCATATTCAGATTCAATACAGGCCCCAAGGCCAGAGGAAGCAGTTGCTATTGAGGGGCGTTGCAGCGCCTCCTCAGGTGTTAAGAAGAACCCCCCAGGGAGTGTACGCTGGGGCAGCAGCAATTCTTTGTTGCCTTTGGTGCCTACCCCATTGGCTTGTCGGTTATTAGAAAAGCTGCTCTGGGCATACAACTCGCGGAGGTGGGGAGTGAGGCCCCCTGTGCTGCTGCACGGCTCTCCGGGCAGTGGTAAGAGTTCGTATATTCGATGGCTTGCACAAACTGTGGGGGTACAGCGGCCGCCTGTCAGTCTCTTCCTTGATCAGCAAACAGAAGCAAAAGACCTTGTCGGTGAGACATACACACAAAGACTTCATTCTCTCTAATTTACAACGCCCCAAGCCCTGCAGCTGCCGCTGCTCTGAGTGACGCTCTGCTGCTGCTGCTGCTCCTGGTGCTGGTGCTGATGCTGCTGCTGTTCCTGCTGCTGCTGGTGCTGCTGCTGGTGCTGCTGCTGCTTTGCCTGGGAAGAAAATAAACAACTAGGAACTGTCTTTAGAGGGAACAGTGGTGTGAGGGAGACGGCAGAGGGAGAGGAGGTTTTACTCAGCTGTCATCGCAGCCACACTCACAGCCACAGCCTCAGGAGAGTAATAATATGCTGCTGCAGTTTCAGCGAGAAGGTTAAGGAGGCAGAAAGAGGCTGTTGCGCCTGTTTGCTTCTGTGCAGCACTTGTTGCATTTGTAGTATATATGGCCTATACTATGCTGCTGCTGCTGCTGCTGCTGTTACTGATAATTCTATTCCTGCTGCTGCTGATCATGCTATTACTGCGGCTACTGATCATGCATGCTATTGCTGCTCCTGCTGCTGCTGCTGATGTGGGTTGGCTACAGGGTCTTGGGTGTGTGGGCGGCGTGCTGGGGAGTTTGAGTGGCAGGAGGGCATCTTGACACGGTGCGTACGAGAGGGGCGATGGATAGTGATAGAGCAGCTGCAGCAGCTGGCGCAGGATGTGCATGCGCTGCTGCACGGCCTTACAGCAACAGGCAGCCTTGCAGTACACGAGCAGCAGCAGCAGTTGCGCGTACACCCCGACTTCGCCCTCTTCGCTACCCTTGCTGCCCCCGTGCGCCACTTCCGCACCAACAAACGCAGCAAAGCAGCAGCAGAAGAAGCGGCAGAAGAGAAGGGAGCAGCTGGGGAGCGCCCTGAAGAATGTCTTGATGCTGTATTAACTGCGCCTCCGCCTCCCCTGTCGCCTTTGTTAGAGTCGTGGGTGTTGCTGCATGTGCCACCTCCTTCAGCAGCAGACGTCCATCAGATTGTTAGTCATTCATTTCCTGCTGTTGCGCCTGTTGCTGCAAGGCTACAGAAGGCCTTTGATGCTGCAGCAGCAACTGCAGCAGCAGGCCTCACTAGGCCGGGTCTGCCGCCTCCCAAGGCGGCGCGGCTGCCTCAGCTGAGGGACTTTGTGAAGCTCTGCAGACGGTTGCAGACACTAGCTACTGCTGCTGCCAGCAGCAGCAGCAGCAGCAGCGGGAGTATCTTTGAGGGGTTCCTGACGGATCGGCTGAGGCTGCGAGTAGTAGAAGAGGCAGCAGCAGTGTTGCTGGGCCACCTGAGTGATAGACAGCTGCGGCTGCGTGCTGCTGTAGCATTCGCTGCTATATGGGATGTGCATGAAGGTCAGGTAGAGGCGCTGCTCTTCAGCCAGAGACCGGTGCTTCGCGAGACAGCAGAAGCCCTTCAAATCGGGCCTTATACCCTACCTAAACCGGAGCCCCCGGAGGGGCCACCCAGCAGCAGCACCGCAGAGGGCAGCGACATTCTTATGTTGGGAGGAGATGAAGAGACAGCAGCAGCAGCAGCAGCAGTAGAAGGTGCTGCTGGCGCTGCTGACGACTTGGGGGAGCCTGCAGCAGGAGCAGAGCTGCTGACGGGGCAGCAGCTGCGGTTGGTGCAGCAGGCTGGGGGCGCTCTGCATGCAGAGGAGCCCCTGTTGTTTGTGGGGGATACGGGGGCTGGCAAGACATTCATAGTTTCTTACTTAGCCCGGAGACTGGGGAAAGAACTTATTGTAGTAAATCTTCATCGTCAGAGTGAGGGAGAAGACCTTCTGGGCCGCTGGGTCCCTAGACACCCGCCGCATGAGGCGCTGCATCTATGGCAGCAGCTGCTGCATCTCGCAGACCTCATGCTGGGGCCTCCAACAGCCGAAGATGCTGCGGGCGCCCCACACGCCGACAGCGACGCAGAGGCACCCAAAGTCAAGAAACGCAAGCAGCAGCAACAGCAGCAGCAGCAGCAGCAGCAGCAACAGCAGCAGCGGTCAAACCTTATAGAGTCCATGAGACAGATGATGCTCAGGGTGAGACGAGGAGGGTCCCGTCTGCTGCAGCGTGAGGCCTACATAGCGTTGCTTAGGCTGGCAGCAGCAGCTAACACTGCTCTGCTGCAGCTGCTGCGGAAATGCGGTAATATCTTGCCGGTGGTCTGCACCGCTACACCGCCGCAGCAACAGCAGCAGCAGCAGCAGCAACAACAGCAGCAGGAGCGCGTGTCAGTCGGTGAGCTGCTGGCACGTTGCACAGATCTGCAGACATCTTTTGATGCTCTTTTAGGGGACCCTGCCCTCGCAGACTGCAGTGCTGCAGCACCGCGTAAGTTTCAATCCCTTGTTGACGCTTGTGGCTTGCGAGGGTTCTTATCTGCTGCTGGTGAGGAGTGGGAGGCAGCAGCTGCAGCAACAGCAGCTGCTGCAGCTCCAGGAGGGGCCCGCAAGAGGCGCAGCCAGCTGCACTTTGTCTTCACTGAGGGCCCCCTTGTCGAAGCTGTGAGAACAGGGAAGTGGCTGCTGCTGGATGAAATCAATCTTGCTCCTCCTGATCTGCTGCAGCGGCTTCTGGGGCTGCTGGAGGAGCCTCAGGAGCCGTTGCTGCTGCTTGAAGGGGGTAAGCCCCGCCGGGTGTACAGACATCCCAACTTCCGTGTCTTTGCATGCATGAATCCCCCTATGCTTGCGCCTCCCCTTCGACTGGCGGAGCACAAGTTATCTTTTGACGACGAAGAGGAGCCCCACAACGCAGAAGATGCCTTGCAGCAGCAGCAGCAGCAGCAGCGAGGGAATGATGCACCTACCGATATGAATGCGGGTGTTGGGAAGAGAGAATTGCCTGCTGAAGTGAGGCAGCGATTTACAGAGTTGTATGTAGATGAGACAGAGGGACTCGAGGACATTACTACAGTTGTGGATGCGCATTTGAGGCCTTTGTGTGCGGACCCGCCTTCACGTTTGGTGGCTGAGGTGTATATACACCTCAAATGCTTGGCAGAGGCGGGTCAGCTACTAGACGGCAACAACAAGACCCCTTGCTACTCCTTGCGGACGCTATCTCGCTCTTTGCTGCATGCAGCTGCTGTTACCCGGCGGTCTGTGCGGCCGCTGCAGCTTCGTGCAGCATTAAAAGAGGGTTTTCTTGCTTTGTTTGGCTCTTCGTTGAGCCCTCTCAGTGCTGCAAGAGTCGAGAGGGTCTTAACAAAGGCATTTAAACCTGCGCTCCCCTCAGAAGGAGCCCCGCGCCCTCCTCTTAGGGGTTCTCCTGCTGCACGCACTGGGCAGCAGCAGCAGCAGCTGCAGCTGCAGCTGCTGCCTGCAGCACCAGGAGAAGAGGCCCACGTGGCAGTAGAGGGATTCATCATCCGCAGAGGTAAGAAGATATCAACAGCAACGCATGCTCCCTCAGCTCAAACAAAGACAGATGTAGGCGTGTGTCTAGCAATGGGTGTATGCCTTTGTTTGCATGCATGTGCATGCAAATACTGCTGCGTAGCTGAATGTGCATATATATATGTATAAAAATGCCCGTATCTACATACCCATGTGCATTGCATATATATATATATATATATATATATATATATATATATATATATGCT